CGGTGGCGAGTCTACGAATCGCTTCCAACGAAGCTCCAGCGACCACTCTCCGGTCTGTTTTTCAGCCAATTTTTTGCCTTCCTCGCCCGCACCTCACTTCCTCCTACGTCTTACTTGAGTCTCCAGGTTGGTTTTTCCGCTCTACCTTGTTTAATTTTGGAGAATCGGATTAGGTAGTGAAGTGAGGATAATTTGTAGTGCCTTGAATATTGAACCTAGAATTAGGGCGAGGAATTAGGAGAATTAGGTTGATTGAATGTTGAAATGTTGTTGCATGAGCATTAGTTGAGCCTTGGTGGGCATTTGGTGATTTGAATTGCTTTTATTTGTGATTTTGCCCACCAAGTGCTAGTTATTGAATGGAAATTGGGGGATGTATTTGAATGGTGGTTGATAACCACCGTGGCATGGGTTGGGGTTCGAATCCTTTTTGTTGATGAACCTTGAAAAACCCGCAACCATGCCACAGTGGGTTGAGCTTAAATGTCTGAAATCTATGGTGGAAATAAGTGTGTGGGGGGGGGGGGGGGGGGGGAATTTCTAATTTTTGCAAGATGCTTAACGAGGAGCATGAGTTCATCAGTTACCTGGTGAACCATCCGCGGTTTGGGGACAAGTTCGCCTACCAGAAGGACAGACCGATCAGGCCACACTGGCGGCTGGACCTGCACATGTTCAGGTGCCGAGCTGCAATGTCGGGGGTCGTCTATCACCCCCAGTGGCGCCGAATGCTCACACTGGATGAGCAGATCTACCACAAGCTGTGCGTGGAGTTCTACTCCACGTTCGCCCATGTGCTCCCGAGCGGCAAGAGGAGCCGCCCATACGTGGAGTTCATGCTAGGAGGTAGCCTCGAGTGCTAACCTATGACGCCTTCGCCCATGCCATGAGGCTTGACCCGACACATATGATGATGACAGAGCGGCAGTACACCGCCGATTTTCACTATCAGGCCTCATTTCGGGCCCTCTGTCGCCCCGAGCACGAGACCGAGGAGTACGAGGCAAGCCGACCAATGTGGTGAAGCTGAGGACCCCATGGATGATCCTCCACACTCTGCTCACCCGTTCGGTCGTCCCTAGCCTACAGTCGGGACATTTGATGACCAACAGGGGGCTTATGGCTCTCTTCTCCATGAGGCATCCTGCGGAGCCAATCCATCTGGGATCCCTGATAGCCACCTTTTTCACCCGGTGTCTAGGGTGGAACAGGGTGGATACCATGCATATGGGGGGCATCATCACGAGGATTTCCCACCACTTCGGAGTGGATGTGGAGCGATGCTCCATCATCGGGAGGACCGAGCCCTTCACAGTGGCCACACTGTGCAACCAGCAGTTGGTACTTCAGAAGAGGGGCATTGAGTACCTCAACGGGCTCTGACCTTCAGGAGCCATGAATCTAGCAGTTGTCCCGGCTCCAGTGGAGCAAGATGCAGGGGTTCCACCCCCAGAGCAGCCACCTACTCGAGCACCCGGTCGCCACCGGCGCCCAGCGATCCAGCGCCCCATACCACCACCACCAGCAACTTCAGCACCCAGGCCAGCAGGTGATACCCTCGTCCAGAGGATGGATGGCCTTGAGACCCAGTTTGGGGGAGGGACTTCCCGCCTCGACCGTCAGACAGACCTCCTTGAGCAGATGGGTAGACGCTAGGGTCTCATTCCCGATAATGAGACGATAGGGCCTTCGACCCAGTGAGGTAGCCGACGAGGGAGATATGTGGCAGAGCTGATTCCTTTCGCCCCACTACTCCACTTGGAACTCTGAACTCTTTTGTTTTATTTTCTTTCGTTATGTGTGTGTGTGACCATAAACTACTACTACTACTATCGTATTGTGTTGTGTTGTTTAACGACCTCGCCTTGAGCGAGTCGTATTATGTTTGTATGTGTGTGTTTTTGTCTTTTCCTTGAAGCTCCAAATCTCCTACCCCGTAAACAATTCCAACTTTCACTCACCAAGCAAAGCGGTAACGTCGTTCTACCCATGTGATCGAGTATGTCCTATGATGATAATTGAGAGGTGCACTAGGATAGTGCAAAGGTTTAGTTCTCATGTGTGCAAAAATGATTGGATGTTTTGACTCGAATACTTGTTGATTACAATTGCCATGCATGTTGCTTTGTGAATTGGAATAGATGGTTGGGTGACTAGGTAGCCATGTGAGCTTTGAGCCGATCGTTTTCTTCTTGCGTGCTTAGATCCTTCTTACCATGGCAAGTAACATCACAGTTGTCACTAGTGACTATGATGGAGGCATAGGATTAGTCCACGCCCTAATGTTGATTGTCCCGAAATGAATTATCCACTAGTCAACCCATTTGAGCCTTGTGAATTTGGGGGTCGTTCTCATGATAGGAGTGTTTTGCTTGTGAGCTTAATGGTGTTAATAGAACGACCCCCCCTCCTTTCTTCGTGTCTATACCTGTGTTGTCGTTGTGTCCCGGAGCTCTCGCTTTTGAGCTCCATTGAAGTTATACATAGGAGGATTGTGTGCGATTCTTGCTAGTATCGAAAATGTTTAACTCTCTAGTGTTGGAGTGAGTTCTTGCAATAACTTCCACATGAAAGCACAAAATTGTGCGAATAGAAATATACTATCCAAACAATTGAGTTAATCTATCTTTGGGACACTATGATGTGCCGATCTCTTGTAAATTGCAACATTGATAGATGAGATACGTCAACCATTATCAATGTACCCATTTTGTTCTCACTATAGTGACAATTCTCAATGAAGGTATTCTGCCATCATCATCTCACCTATCGACACTATATTGTCGTGGTCGGTACGGCTATTGTGGCTCCATCCCCACATAGTCTGATGCCCCCACCAAGATTTTTTCTTATATAATTATCATCATGATAATAATATGTATCACCCACATTAAAGTCTTGTCATCTTGGTGTTATCATCATGATTGGTTCCACCCCGACCTTCATAAATTCCATTATCACTGCCGACATAAATGCATGTGGGGAGCAAAAGTAATCTTAGTAGAACTATCAGACAATGAGAATTCTAGCAAAATGATAACGAGAATGATGGAAAGTCAAATGAAATATGGAGTATAATGTCAGAGATCTAATGAGAATCGTATATAGCTAGAAGTCATATCAAGGTTTATTTGATTGCAAGATTGGTACATGTGCTCAAGGCATGAACAGAATTTGTTCATTCTCTCCATTCTTGAACAATATTGTTTCATTATCTCCATTCAAATGGACCACATCTGATCTAATATTAGTTCAGATCCCCTCCACTTAACGAGCTACGATTGGTTCGTTCCTTACATACGTGACCCACAATTGGTTGATCACCAACTGTATAATGAACCAACATTGGTTCACAAACTCTATGCATGAGCCGTTATCGGCTCAACTCCACCTTCTAAATTCCATAAGCCAAAAATGGTTTGATCTTTTATATACATGTCTCAAAATTCAAGATTGGTTTTGTCAATAATAGCTCCAAACTCATGAACCATGATTGGTACATAATTTTTTTATATGTTGAAATACACGAATCACAATTGGATTGTTCTCTTGCCAAGGGTTCCTGAGAGCCCAATAAAAAATGTGATTGTCGCTACAAAATCTCCTTCGTTCAATGTTTACGACGACAAGGGGGCAAATGATGGACCACAAATTAAAAGTTTTAATTTGACAAAAGTGTTCTCAGCTAGTCCATAATCAACAGCCCTCACCGATCACTACAGGTCACTTGAGGTCAACCCGACCACCCTGGAATCAATCACCCCGAGTCACCTAAGCCACCCTAGTGGTCATTCCGGTCACCCCGGGGTCAATCACCTTGAGGTCACCTTGGGGTCACCACGACCACCTCGGGGTCAATTACCTCGACTCACCTAGCCTACCCCGGGGTCAATCACCCTGGGTCACCTTGAGGTCACTCCGGCCACCTCGGGGTCAATCAACCTGGGTCACTCCGGCCACCCCGGGGACAATTACCTCGGGTCACTCCATCTACCCCGAGGTCAATTACCTTGGGTCACCTAGCCCACCTCGGGGTCACTCCGACCACCCGGGGTCAATCACCCTTGGTCATCTTGGGGTCACTCCAGCTACCCCGAGGTCAATCACTTTGGGTCACCTTAGGGTTACTCCGGCCACACCGGGGTCAATTACCTTGGGTCACCTAGCCCACCCCGGGGTCAATTACCCTGGGTCACCTTTGGGTCACTCCGGCCACCCTGGAGTCAATTACCTCGGGTCACCTCGGCCACCTCGAGTCACTTTGGTCACCCCGTGGTCAACTACCCCGGGTCACCTCGACCACTTTGGGGCCCACCCCAGGGCACCTAGACCTTTAGCCACGTACCCCCGCAACGTGTCCTCTCTCCACACCACCAAGCTTGTGAAGGAGACACGTACTCCCTTCATGTTCGCTTGGATGCCTCTATAAAAAGCTAGTTCGTCTCTAGATTGAGAGAAGCAAAAACCCACATGCCTAGACTTGTGAACTCTCGCTATGAGTAGCGCAAATATTCATTCTCAACTCCATTACCTCATCTTTCTTTTCGAGGTCATATTCCTCTCCACTCAACCCACTTGCTAACTTGAGCGTATGAGAGTGTCCCTGTCGAGATCGGCCGACATACCTTTTTTGCAAGAGGCGACCGAAGCTAACATCATGAGAGAAGTTCGAGGTGAAATGTGGCCGTCGATCGACTCTAATGCCCAACGTAAAAAAAAAAAAAAAAAAACTCAACGTCGACTATAACCCCGACATAAATAATATCAATTACAATTTTTTGCCAAATGACTCGTTTGTCAATAAAAAACAAAGCTAATCATTTACAAATGACTAGTTTTTTCGTCACTACTTTTCACCAAATGACTCGGGCAAAACCATGACTCGTGTAAATATAGCATGCAAACGCTATAACTGTCTGGCATCTCCCCTAGTCCCCACTAGAAAACGGCATCCTGGCTAACGATTTTCGGCAGGACGAGCTCGTTGCTCATTCTACATTGTGGGACCAAAGGAAATACGAACGCAGTTTTCACGACGATGCACTTGTCCAGCTTCTGCATCAAGTATCTCTACAAGAGGTCCGTGGCGAAGCTAACGCAATATAAAATAATGGCTTTGTATAACAACAATGGCGAAAGATACAAATGTGAGTATTGACCCACACAATACAGTATGTCAAAATTGGCTTTGTATACTCTTTCTTTCTGTTCTCTCCCTATATATTAGCAATCAAAATGTAGACACGAGACCTATACCTAGCTCCTCCGCCAGCTCATCCCAAACCGGAACCAGTGTCAGCACCACTAGGAAAATTGCCGTCATAACAGCAGCTTGTCTCCAAGTTCCAACCTCCGTCACGTCGTTTAAGCATGGCTTCTCCGGCGCCCTCTGAAAGCACATACACCACCATTAATAGATCGATAACGTCGTTGTAAAACGGCAAAGACTTTATTTGCCTAGCAGTTTCTTGGTGTTACCTGACATATCAACACGTACAGGCCCCAGGGGAGTGATAATGGACCACCAAGCTTTGAAGGGAAGGAAAACAGAAGACGAGATTCCAATGTCAGCACCATATGTTGACTGATGTAGTAGTAACATTGTTTCACAATTGAGACCTGTATAACTGACACATGCTTTGTAATCAAATGAAAATTTCACCATGATGATTTTGGCTTACCACTCCCAGACCAAGAAATGCGTATGTGGTCAACCCAAATCCAATAAGAGCACTTTTCCCGAAAGCACCCTGTAAAATGAGTTCAAGTTATGGGGCTAGGATTCTTCTACTCTACTTGGTGAAGAGAGAATCTAGAAGTTACCTGGACTGCTCTTCCACCATCAAGGCTTCCTACTGGCAGTAGATTAAAAGCTGTTGTAGTTAAGCCACACCTAATAAGAGAACGATTCGTGCAGTAAGTTAAAAGATATTTTATGGTTTTTCAAGAAAACGTATTCGAGAGTCTTTACCAGCCAGCAATCACAAGAGGATGGATAGAAACTGTTGCAGCATGCATTGCTCTGCATTTTCATAACATCAATTTGTATGAATCAGAGTCTCAAGGTGACTTTCAATATTATTTTTCTGTTGATCATCAAGGATAAAAGGCTCAGGGATTTGTCTGGGAGGGACATACGCATAACCAAGGGTAGCTCTGCTGATTAACCCGAGAAGTAAAGAGCCCTGGAACAGCATACTAGGAACCTGTATCAAGTCTTCAGTAGCAGCAGGATTTGATGAAAGCAGCAGGCCGACGATGAACATGGAGAAAGAGAGAATAGCACCGGCAAATGGACCAGCTAACGAAATGTCAACTTTTGTACTCCGATCAGGAAGGATAGATTTGAACTACAATGACCACAGAAATCAGTGAGTGGCGACATAGTAATCATTTTACTTAAACTTGTGATGTCCCGCTAATGATTACATGCTCTCACCAAATTATTGCTTCTACTAAAGTATATATCTTTCACTTCCCACAGAAAAGGTTGCTAACAATGTACCTGAGTTATTGCACCAAAACTTCCAAGTGTAATGTTGGGGATGAAGAATGGAATGCTGAGTTTCACTTTTTTAGGGAAAGCAGCAATAAAATGCCCAAGTTCCTGCAAAACCCAAACAAAGAACTAATTGTTGAATTTGTCCAAAAAACTAAGTTTCCTGCAAAACGCCAAGTTTATATAACAAGTAAAATCCTGAACCAAAAACTAAGGTTGGAATTTGTCCGAGAAATGGCTATTCCATGAGATTAAATGAAAGTGAGAAAAAAACAACTACAGATGCCACCAAGTTTATTATACCTCTCACTGGACTCTTGACCCAAAACAAGGGCATGCTATACTACTAACGAATTCAATATTTACATTATGCTGCTTGATTACAAAGGATGGTATCTAGGGGTAGAAAATTCAGTTGCTTTCACAGGGCTTTCTCTAAGTTATTAGTTTTTCCCTTCTTCTGGCGGTTGATTGACTTCATATGTTCAGTCGTGAAAAGGCAGCAGTTATCTACCAACCTAGCATATCAAGCGTAGCACCAGTTCTTGTCCCATGTATGAAAGTAGCAGGGGCTAAAGCAAATAACACTACCTACACACATTAGGTGGCCTACACGAGATATAAAAAAAGTTTCATACTGCATCAGCATAGTACAATAAACCACGTGCAGCTTCAAATAGTCAAATATCAATAAGGAGGTTCCTCACATGAAATAGCAGAATTCCTAAGATACCATAGGCTAACGGCAAAGCAGAATCCACAAACGGGAAAAGCAGCTGCATATCTGGTGGTTCAACGGCATTTGGATCGGTAAAATACTTCACCACTTCTGGAGGAAGGCGATTGATCTGTTGTTGGAGCAAAATGCAATAATCATGCAAAAGAGGGAATTAAATAACGGATAAGAGAAAGGCAGCTAAGAAGATGGAAATCCTAGGTCAAGTTGTCATGTGCGCAAAGTATACACAACCAAATAGCTAACCTGAGATGCAATTCCTAACTCGACAGAAGAACCAACTGTTAAAAGGAATAACAGCATAGCAATCACATATTGCCAAAGTGTGGTTGGCCCTGGCTCGGACACCTCCTTTCTTAACAAACCGAAACTAACTCGTGGACCACCACGAGGATCTGCTCCTTCTGCATTGGGTTCTTCCACCATGAAAAGGTTGTATTTATCACCCGTAATCTCTGCTAGCTGATTCTGAAGTTTAGCAAACACGTCTTCTCTTGCCCCCCTTAAATTCCCAAGGAAAAGAACGCCCTCACCAAGGTCTCCAAATATTTCTTCCTTAGTAACCCAAAAGGTTGAGTACCCGAAAAGCTTGTCCTTTATTAGCTTGACATCAGATGGATCGACCTTCTCGGGTCCTAGAAGCTCAAGCAATTTGAAAGAGTCCACTTGGAAATTACTGTAAGCTGGTCCAAGAGAAGATATAGTTGGTGGCTGAACAAACAAACAAACAGAACGCATCAATGATCAACATCTCATTGTTACAGATAAATAGTGCTTGACATATGCATTTGTAAAATGAGAATCTAGAAAAAAATTGTTAACTGTACAAGCTTATTCCTTAGAAGAATTGCAATAAGTAACCAAGTCCAACATAACCATTGCCAAAAACATAATTCTCCTGGAAAGACTAGATAAATTCGATGCCAGCAAGTCTTAGACCTCCATTACCACAAATTGCTGAGCTCTAAATGCTTTGTCCAAGCATAGCGAAAACGAATTCTTTTACTGAATCTTTCAGTCCTTCCATTAAGCAAGCAAAATTTTAGCCCAAGCAAATACAGCTAGCACTAAGAAAATAATTGCTCTGGTAGAGGACAGGATAGAGATATATAGAGAGGGAGGGGGTACCTTTGATGAAATAGAGGCAGGAGAATTGTCAGAACCAAATTCATTATCCTCGGCAGTTCTCTCCCCATTGTCTTCAGGGGATGCTGTTGCTACACTAGAATCTTGCCCACCCATTTCACTGCTTTCCACTTCTTTGCTACCGTCATTACTGTTAACACCATCCCTATCGTTATTCTCACCAAAGCACCAGACTTTAGTAGAATTCTTCCGAAACGTAATATACTCCCTCTTGTTGCTGAACATTCTTCCTCCGCACAGATGACAAGAACCTGAACCTGATTTCTTCCTATACGAATCGAACCCTCGAACCCGCTCCCGGAAATTGTCATCAAAGTGACCCGAACGAAGCCTGAAATTCGGAGTGCTAAAGCTGTAGCTCGCCAGCGTTCCCATCATAAATCCGCCCAACGGAAAGGCTTTAGCTCTTCAGCTTTGCTTTCTTTTAGAAAGTGGCTGGCGATGAACCAGTGAGGAACAATACAGTACGGTGGATTACAAGATTTTTGGGTTTCGGAAAGTGGGGTGGGGTGCTATTCCAATTTCCTCAATTCAACCCGGATTATCGGGTATATATAATATATTTTCTTCATTTTCAAAGACTTCAAACTTTTTTTAGTGACTATTTATTAGCCAAATTTTTTTCGAATTATTTTTTATTAACAAAATTTATCGAAATATTAATAATTAGGTAAATGTTAATTTTTAGTTAGCAATTTTGTTAGTAATATTAATTTTGCAACATGATACTGACCCGGAAGAGACACATGAAGGTCAACATTCCACAATTCTAGTATTTTAACTAAGAAAAGAGTCACAAAATTATTAAAGATAAAGTACAAATGACTAATATTTTTATGCATTACGAAAAATTTGGCTAATTAATAATATTTTAATAGATTTGGATAATATAAAAACATTTAAAAAAGATTTGGATAAAATATAGACATTACCTTTTTTTAAAAAAGAATTCAGTTCTTTTAGTTAGACAATCTCCAACAATAAAAGTTGAAAATTACTAGAATATCAAATGATTTTGGCATGTTTTGCCCCCAAAAGTGGATTTTGCTATAATAAAGAGTTCCAATGTTTTTTATTTATCGAAACTTGTATTAGATTTTAGGGCTAATACCACTGGAAATACCATCCTATAGAGAAAGTGTCATTTATATGACGTACTTTCAATAAACACAAAAATATTCCAACGTATTAGGGATATGTGTTATTTGTGTTACGCGAATTTCTGTTGACCGTTAGAATTGACGGTTGACCTGACGGTGGTCAACTTATATTTGACTATTGCTTATGTGGCGCTTAGGTGTCGCCAGCATATGTGCCACGTAAGAAATTACTAATTAAAAAATATTAATTTTATTTCAAAAATAAATAAATTAATATTATTAATTTATTTTTTAATACTTTTTTCTAAATACTCTTTCTCTCTTTGACAAAAAAAAACTCTTTCTCTCGCTGCCGCCGACATCATGCCTCATCGACGGAGTCCGGCCGCCAGAGACAAAGTCACATCGCAGCGGGCAACCAAGGCCAAAGCTCTGGTTGACTCAAATCAGACATCCCTCTCTATCGTGAAAGAAGGGAGCTTCGGCCGGCAATCAGTCCACCCGCTTGACCATGCTTCGCGTAGAAGAAGAAGACCAAGAAGTTCGAGGAATCGATGGCAGTCGATTCGCATACCCCAATGTCGAGAAGGACTAAAGCCCAGAAAACCTCAACGTTGAGCAATTTTTCTTTTCCCATAGCAAAACCTCCTCTCAATCTCATCTCAAAGTCGTAGTCCTGTGATTCACAGATCTGAAATCATCTAGCTCCAGATCCCTAGCCATTGTCGAACACCCGCCTCTTCATCGCACAGGTAAACAGAGCAGCAGCGACGACGATGCGATAAATGCAACCACCGTCACGGATTGCCCGAGAGGGGACACCGGCTGCGGCAGGATGCTTGCGACGGGAAAGGAGAGTTGAAGAAGGGAGATTGTGCCCTCCTTCTGTCATCTTCTTCGCCGTTCATCAACTGCATGTCGACCTCACCAGCAATTAGGTATTGTGAGGCATCGATGGGATTGAAATCGCGGATGTGGCTGAATATTGCTTCAATGGAATCAAAATCGTGGGTGGGGGAGTGGCGGACGGGAAGAATGGGGAGTCGGGATTGGTGGTGGTTGGGGTTCTGGCGTTGGAAAATAGAGCTTGGCTGGGGGCGAAGGTTGAGGCAGAGAAGAAGGGGAAGGTGCGGAAGGGAGTGCGACGAGCGGGAAGAAGTACTGGCGGAGGCCGCGACGGACGGGGAAGGCGATATAGTATTGGGTTTTTGAGAGAGACAGAAGCAGAGGTGCCGAAGGGGAGAGATGGAGAGATAGTGAGATGCGAAATTCCTTTTTCCTTTTTCCACTTTTGACTTTATTTTATTTTTTTACATTTATTTTTATTAAAATTGCCACATCATTGCTGATTGTATTTTCTGTTAACCACTAACAGAAAACTTAACGGTTAGTATATAATTGTCATATTGTAAGTTATCGTAATATAAATGACACTTTCTCTAAAGGATGGTATTTCTAGTGATATTAGCCCTAGATTTTATCAACCTGAAATTTTGGTTACACGGTCCACCTCAAACTGGTCAATCAAAAAAACTGGCAGCCAATCAACCCACACAATACATTCATTCCATCTCATTCTCGAGTGCACTAGAAGGTGTGCTACTTCATTGCTCGTCAGGGGGGAATACCGCCAAGAGCTATGACCCATGTCTCATAGTAACCATCAAATGTTGTGAAAGATAACACCAACATCAGTATGAATGTTCGCGGCATGGTCCAGCTTTTGAATAAGGCTCAAATAGTCCAATTCCAAAATCGGATTCACGTAGTGTTCCTGAAAGGCGATCTGGATGCCCAGCTCGGCCGCAAGGGGCTCAGCCTCCTCGGCCTCCCTCTGTCCATGAATTTTCTTCGCTGCTGCTAACAAGAATCACCCTTGGTCATCTCTAATCGCCACCCCAAGTCTGATGCCTCCATCTTCATGAAAGCCACCATTCGTATTAACCAGGACCCGACCACCAATTCGGCTCGATATACTTTAAAAAACGCAATGGCTGAACTGGCCGGCCGGTTAACAATTCAAACGGTCAGCTGGCAAAACCGTTCAACCCGGTCAGCCGGTTCTCATCGGGAAAAGATAGTATAACAACAGTCTGTATGTTGTTACGGTACCAACAACAATCATTAAGGATAAAAAGGTAATTTCATATAAAAACAAAATAAAATTAAAATCTTCTGCATCGCTAATTCCCGATGCTCCAATTTTGCGTTCCCAGATCTGGGTTTTCTCCGTCTCCGCCCAGCTTTTTTCCTCCGCCTCTCTTTCCTCCTCTATTCCGGCGCCGATCAACCTCCACACGAGCCTTCCACCGACGATCAAGAGTATATCGGCGCCCGATTCCCCTCCTCTGCCGCTGGCGCTCTTCACCGCAGATCCCGCAGCCGCCGCGATCACAATTTTCCCTTCTCTGTTCCAGCGCCGATCAACCTCCACACGAGCCTTCCACCGACGATCAAGAGTACATCGGCCCCCTATTCTCCTCCTCCGACGCTGGCGCTCTTCCCCGCCGATCCCGCAGCCGCCGCGATCTTGACGCGCATGCGGTGGTTTTCGAGGTACTGGTAAAAGGCGGCGGCGAGGAGGCAGGCGACGAGGGAGAGGGAGTAATCGACCCAAGATTTAGTGATCCTCCGATGAGCAAGAATCAATTACGGTTTTTTTTTTGTCCCAATCTTGAGACCAGGTAGTTACCCTTTTGTTTTATAATTGTAATTGTAAAGGCGGCAATGATGATCATATATAGAATGATTTGTTTTTTTCTCGATGAATCATATAGAACGATTTCTCCCTTGGTTCCTTCCGTAAAATTGGAGTTTTTGTTCTCTCGAAAATCTCTCATCCAAGAAAGATATTTGGATACTATAAATGAGACTTTATAACGGAGAGAGAGGAAGAACAGAGAATGAGAGAGAGGAATGATAACATGATCACTTGAGATCAATTGTTCATAAGATCAACGAAGTTTATCATATTTTTTTGTTTTATGATGTATTAGAAGTATCCTAATGTAGAACATAAGTATCGTGAAGTAAAACAGAAACACTACAAAGTGAGCCATAAATATTTTTAAAGCACACCAAAAACTTTATTATACAAACCATAATTCTCCTAAAACAAACCAAAAACACCACAAAGCACACGAGAAACTTCATAAAACAAACCACAAACACTATAAAACAAACCACAAAAAAGCATACCAGAAACCTTCCAATGCATGCCACAAATTCTCGAAAACAAACCAAAAAACCTACAAACCAAACCATAAATATTTTGAAAGCACACCAGAAAACTTATAACGCAAACCACAAACACCGTAAAGCAAACCACAAAAGCAAACCAGAAACCTTCTAATACAAACCACAAATATATTAAAACAAACCAGAAACCTCACAATGCAAACCACAAAATTTTTTAAAGCAAACCAAAAACGTCTTAATGCAAACCACAAACACGATAAAGCAAACCACAAAAGGCATACAAAAATATGAGAAACCAAACCATAAATCTCACAATGCAGACCATAACATCCGGTGGTCGTTGGTCGTTGACCGGTCAACGAAGCCGTTGACCGGTCAATGAATTTGACCGGTCAACGAATTTCGTTGACCGGTCAATGAATTTGACCGGTCAACGAATTTCGTTGACCAAACTCCGATGACCGTTAGTGACCGAATTCCGACGCCGATAGGCATATTCCGGTCCCTATGACTAGATTCCGACGCCGGTAAGCATATTCCGACCACGATGAGCATATTCCGGCGACTGTGAGTATATTCCGATGACAAAATAGCATATTCCGGCGACAAAAAAGCATATTCCAGTAACCGCGACCAGATTCCGGCGACCGAAATTTTGGACCGAAAATAAAAAAATAATTTTTTAATTTTTTTAATTTTAATTTTAATTTTAATTTTAATTTTTTTAAAACATATTTTTCATAATGACAATTATACTCCTGCTTTGATTTTACACTAGGTCAACCCAACTAATGAAAAGTCATCACAATCCTAACTTCCTATTGGTTGGAAACTAGTATTGTTACAATAACAAGAAATATAGTGTTGTCACCGTATCCGCTCCCGTTCTCATCTGTTTGGCGCCTTATTAAAAGAACTAGCACGGCTTCAGAGAAGCACGCTGGGGTTCAGAGCATCTCCATCAATGCAATTGCAAATGCAATTGCATTTGTATTTTTTATTTTTAACTTAATTTTTTTGCAATCCACATCACATTCATTTCATTCACCTACATCAATGCAATTAACTTGAAATTGCAAATGTAATTAAATATTATGTTTAAATTATAAAAAATTAAGTAAAAGAAAAGAAAATAATGTAAAATAAAAAAATCCCCATTTTTTTAGGTTTTTTTTACTTGCATATAGAATTGCATTTGTTGCAAGTTTGCAAATAT